TGTGTGAATCTGCTGATGGGTTTGGAAAGCTGGGAGTGGCCCTTGGGGAATGGGTTTTGTGGGCAGCGTGCAGGTGGAGAGAGGGTGTCAGTGGAGCCCTGTATGCTCCCAACACCCAAAATCACATCCTACCATGCAGATGCTATGCTGCTACATGTGCCTGTCACCTCTGTCCCTAGATCTGCACCAAGACCTTTGGCACATGCCAAAAGCTCCTCCAACCCCTGTGCTGCCACACAGCAAGTGGCTGTAATTGAGCTGCCTGTGCCTGGTTACAGCTTCTGGCAGCGCCTGGTCCCCCAGATGGGGCTTTTCTTGGCAGGCTGGGGACTGGCCCTGCTCCTATTTTTTTCTGGGGTGTGCAGCTTCCTGTAAACAACTCAGGCTGTGTGAGAGCCCCTACCATCTTCTCCTGGGCTTTGGAAGCACAGGGCCCAGGACTGTGCTCGTGCCAGGGTGTGTTCAGAGCAGGGACACCAGCCCAGCACGGTTTGTGCTCTTTGGGGTTTAAGAAGTGTCTGAGCATCCTTGGAATAGGTGTCAGGGTGCTGCAGGCAGAGGCACTGTGCCAGTGGAAGGCCAGGGGACAAGAGGGGGCTTCCTGGCCACTGTGGCTTCAGCAGAGACAGCACAGGGATGTGTATATGGCATGGATCACAGGCAGCCTGATCCTGTTAGTGGGCAGACCTGCACTTCACTGGCAGTGCAGGGACATCCATAGTGGTGAAAATTCCCAAAAGTCCATGAGTGAAGGGGACCTTTAATTGCAGGCAGCAGCCACTCTAGGATAAGTCTACTGATGTTGCTGAAGTACATCCACAGGGCTGCAGCTGGTTTTTGTTTGGTTTTGGTTTGTTTTTTAAGCACTTTTCATCACCAGGAGAACTGTCAGTAGGGCTGCTGTGAGCGCAGGAGGAGTGCAGTCACCCAGCTCTACAGCGTGAGCACTGACTGCTCATGCTGGCAGCAAGACAGGCTTCAGAAGCCACAGCATGCAAACCCTGGGGCACTGTGCCTCCTGTTTCATCCTTCAGTCTAGGGGAGTAGAAGCTTCCCACTGAAGTCTGATGGGAAGAATGCACATGCCCTTTGAGCAGGCAACGAAACCCTGCCAAGCCTTGCAGATTCGAGAGGGTGTGGGTACAACACAGACAGTGGAGGGGGAAAAAGACACCCTTCCCAAGCCCCAGTGTGTGTCTGGAGCACACAAAGCTAAGGACGAAATGAAACTATCATGCCGTACTCAATGGGCAGTTTATGTGCTGATGACTGTGATGTTGTAAGCCAACCCATGGCCCCTCTGCTCCTCCAGGAGTGGTTCAGGCAAGGCTGGTTGGGCAGAGCAAACACCCCTGTGCCAGCCTGCTCTAAACCTCCACAAAGATCAGGTGTGACAAAGTGGTTGGTCAGAGCTTGCTCATTCATTACCTGGGAGACCTGAGGCACGACATAAATCAGAGCAGCCCTGAGGGAGCCCTAACCTACACTGGGATTATGGCTGAACCTTGCATGAGCCAAGATGTAGGGAGTTTATAGGCAGTTCAAAGTTTTGGGATCAGGCCCTCCATGTCCCAGGGGTTATCTCTGGAAGGTAGGGTTTGAACAGCAGAAGGATGATTTTAGACAAGAAGGGCTTCTCCAAACTCATAGGATCCTACTGTTTTCTCAGTCGTGTTAGTTGTTTTTGGATAACAATATTATTTGCCGTTGGTCTTCTGGGAGTGCCACCAACATCATTAATCAAAACCCCACGCTGCTTACTGGTACCGAAGTATCTGTACTGCATCATCAATCATAAATGCAGCAAAGGGTGCGCTCTGGATACCTAAAGAGGGAGAGCGAGAACATGGTGGGTGAGGGGAAGGACAGGGAAAGAAGCTTAATTATCCAGTGGTCTTTGGTCCATCGCTCACATTGGAAACATCTCTACAGCTCTATTTTGGTTGTATCTCCCTTTTAAATCTTTGTAAACAGCAGTTAAGATAGAAAGCTTCAATCCGCTGCGCAGGGTACCCCACTGCTTTTCGAGCTATTATTTTAATAAGGCCTATTTTACAATTAAGGCACCATGGGCTTTAAATTACATATAAAATAAAATGTGGAAATTGAAGCATTAAGCGCGTGGCTGCCGTCGGAGGCTCGGCAGCCTCACATTAAGCAGCTGCCTGTTCTTAAACAGAGAGACAGAAGGCAGAGGGTTTGTGCTACGGAAGGAGAGGAACAACAACCCCTTGACTCTGGGGAGGGCACTGCCATGGGTTTTGCTTGGGGCTGTGCTCCCCCTCAGAGTGGGCTGGGTGGGGATCCCGTAGAGGTGGTTTTTGTCTTTGCCCTCCTCCTCCAGCTCCTGGGGAGGTGCCTGGCACAGCCTCGTAAAGGCCGCTGGTTTTGGTTACGCTCGTTGCTGCTGCCGCAGTCCGCTGTGATATGAGGAGCGACTCTCGCTCCAGATGGTTGTAAAGGTTAACGAGGAATTTATGCAGAGCTATATACAAATCAGACTGAATCTTCTGGCTGGGAACAACAAGCCGCCGACATAAATTCAGTTTTCTGAACATATGTAGCTTGGTCACTAAGGGAAACTGGAGAATGGCAAGCTGCTCTGCCGAACGTCACCTCTCTCGCTGCCGCCAAGGCGGGGAGGGAACAGCACTGCCCGTGGCACAGGAGGGGTCTTGGGGCTCCAGGGCTGCTGCAAAACAGTGGCCTCACCTGCAGCCCTGGGACTCAGCCTCAGGTGTGAGGTGCACAGGGGCCACATATCCACTGGGAAGGTGGCTCAGGTCTCACACATCTCTTCTGGTAGTTCTGTTTACCTTCTCTTCACCAAGTAAATTGGTTCAAGGCATTTGTCTGCTACCCCACATATCAAAACCTCTCTTTCTCCTCCTAGACACAATGATTATGATGGCACGGGACTTATGTTTCTATTTATTTGTCTATTTTTAAAGTTATAAACAGATGGAGGCTGGATGCACCAGAGGCAGCTAAAGAGTTTCCCTGTTGTCTTCTTGTGTTCAGGAGCTGATGAGATCCTCTGATGAGCTGGTTGCTTTGTGGGCAGGATAACTGGCTGGAATTTAACTTCAGGATTGTGCCATCTCTGCAAGAGCAGGGTAAGGAGAGAGAAGCCTCCTGCTTTGCCTCCTTCAGATTCACCCTGGTCATGGAGGTGTTGGCAAACAATCTTCCCACTGAAAAAGAAATGTATTTATGTTCCTTCTGATACGCAATAGGAGATAAATAGTAATGTTTTTTTAATGAGTGTTTTGCAAATTTAGTAGAGTATAATTCTTAATTTTTCTGGACAATTTAACTCAATGTCTCAAATGCTTTGTAGAATTAACCTGTTTACTTACTTAACCTTGAAGGATCTTCTATTTCCAGTAGAAGCAGCAGAATGGGGCTGTCAATACTTTCCTGTGGAGGTCTTTTTAGGGGGCACTTGATTTGCTGCTGGCTGGGCCTGCAGGAGGGACTGAGCTGTGAATTGTTGCTGCCCAGTGCCAGTGGAATGATGGCTGGTGGTTTTAGTACAACTCACAAGCAACGAAAATATTCAGGATTGTCCTCCTGATCTGTTTTAGCTCATGTGCACAAGCAGAAGTCCTCTGAGCTTTTTTTCAAGCCCATGTTCCCAACACACTGACCTGCTTCCCTCATCTTTGGGCTTTTTCAGCCTCCCTGCAGCTCCCCATGCAGCACTCCTTCCTGCCCTGCAGCCCTATCCACTGTCACCTTGACATCAAGCATCACTGAGGCCTCTGTCCATACATGGGACTGACATGATTACAGATCCAACACTGACCATCAGCACAGGAAATAATTTCAGTCTCTGTGTCTGAGACTCAGAAAAGCCTCCCACGACCACACAAGCTGCTTATTATTGTACAGTGCTCTGGGCTACAAACCAGATTCATAAAGAGCCCAGCTCCACCCTGTCTGGGCTCACAAGGCTTTTTTGGCACCATCTCTGTCATTTAAAGATGGGCTAGGGGCAGCTTGGAGAAGACTTCCCGTTCTTAAAGAAGCACCTCCAGTGGGAATCCCTTCCTGAGGCCTCAGTGCCTGACCACAGGTAGCTCTGATTCTGGTTTCTCTGCCACTTTTCCTCTTTTGCTTCTGAATGAAACAACAGGCTCTGTTAAATACCTGACAGCCCTGGCTCCCTCCCCTGTAGCGGTAAGCCCAGGCAGATTTCCAGTGGCCAGCATTTCCAAGCATACTCCAGTTTACCAGGCTTGAAGCTTGTCAGCCCAAACAAGACTGAGGCTTTCCTTTTGCAATATTAAAAAATGAAAAAAAAAAAAATTCATAAAACCTCCTGGCACTGCTGGCTCACACCACTAAGCTATTCCATGCCAGCCCTATTGTTAAACTGTAAGCATCAGTTTCAATACTGTAATAAAATACTGCATTTGAAATTTTACAGTTCCCCATTAACCTCCTTTCTCCCTCTCTCCCCCACCTATTACATCATCCCTCTCTCTTCTCCAGCCTGACACTGCTCTGACATAAAACTTGAAACTTCCCCACCTTTCACTTTTCCATTCTTCCCCTCTCTTTCAGAGCCTTTAGCTGTCACTTGTGCAATAGAACAGCTGAGCCAAAGCAATAAAGTGCTGCATACCGTCCCTGAACAGCCGGAGCAAGTTTTTAAGACATCCATGCCAAATACCACTGCTTCCCACACTCGTGCATATACATACCCCATCTTGTCCCCAGCCTTGATTCTACCCAGTGCATTTACTTAAAAACCAGATTTTCTGTGTGTGTGTGTGTGTGCACTGTCAGCCAATCTGAAAACAAGCGTCTTTCACAACTTCTCCTGCCAAGGGAGTGTTGTTCTTCTTTCTATGTAGTTGTTCTTTCTGCATGAACTGCCAGGTTTTCACTTAGGAAAAGGCACCAGATTTTTATTCTCAGGGACACCCTGTTTGAGGAAGCCTTGTGGTCCCCCAGGACCTGGGCAAACGGCAGCTTCATCGAGCACCATCTGAATCCGTGAACATGTCGAGCATCAGTTCTCTCCATCCTGCAGACTTCTTCCTCCACACAAAGGTAACCTCAGCGAATCTTCCATAGCAGAGGACCTGGGCCAGTATTTGTTGGTTGGGATCTCCATGAATTATCTTGTTTGACATGTTCTCTCCTCCCCACTCCTCTTATTTGCCTAATATGAACCAGGTGTAAGGGCAGTCAGGGAGTAGTACTGCAGCACCAAGGAAAGAGAAGATTTTTCCAGTCCCAGCCTAATGATCCACTTAGCCAAAAGGAGAGTGGAAACATTGCCACTAACTTTGCTGGTCGCTGTGCAATGAGAGTCTCCCATGCAGTTTCAGCATCTGAGAAATCAGAGGGAAACAGAAGAAATGGTCTATGAGGAACACAAAGTGACTTTGAATAATGGTCGAGTGGTGTTTTTATGTTCAAAGAATCCCATGGATGTTCACTGTGGGGACATAAAAATCCCATGAGATAGTCTACCCATATGGATCAGTTCCATCATTTTCTTATAGACACAAGAACTGGGACAGGAGGAGGAGCAGTTTGCCTTGGGTACTCCAGTGTGTAACAGGATGAGGGTGCCCATGCTGAGGATGTTGCTGCCCCATGGGCTGTTGCCAGCTCTCCTTGGTCCATGTTATAAAAAAACCTCACATCCTAACTCCAACCTTAGAGTATGCTCTGACACCACCAACAATGAAGAGCTTGTGAAAGTGCTGAACTGAGAATTGTGGGGTTTTATATATATTTTTTTTAACTTTACCCCCTCTGCTTGGTTTTCTTCTACTTTTGGTGTCAAATAAGAAGAAATTTTTAAACTGCTGCTATTTGAATTTTGTTTCTCCTGCATAATAATGTGAATTTTGTAATTTTTTTTTTTTCTTGTGCAAGAGCTGGGAATATTGAAGAGTGGCTGTATTGTGAGCTCTCCCCATTCCTGCTTTTTATACATATACACACGGAGACAGAGTCTCACTGATCTGCCAGTGATCTCGAGTCTACCTAGACGGGCTGCTCTCTCTAGGGATGTGTCTGCTGCATCTGCCTCAGGCTTTTCCTGAAGAGAGACAACTAATTGGGAAAAATTATGTTGCATTACGTGTGGTGGCTCTGTGATGTGGACCGTCGTCTGAGGCCTCCCAATCTCTTATGACTCAGTAACACTGGGAGAGGGGAGCAACGGGCAGATATTTGTGCTTTCCATCCTGAGGTGGAGGATTTAAAGGATCCGGGCTGATGCTTCCAGTTCTGCTTCACAATTAATTAATGAATGAACCCAATATGGGAGCTGAACTGTTAACATTAGGGTTGACAATGGACATCCAGGCTTTTCAAATGCCCTAATTGATAAGTTTACTTTTAGAGGCTCAAGGGTCTTATTTTTACCTTTCAGAGTTTCAGCCCACACACTGTTTTTATTTTAGGTGGAAAAAAAGTGCTTTGACATCCAGGGTGAACTTAGCTACCTGCATGCATGTGTTTAGCTTGCTTTGCTTCGTTTCCAAACCTTCCCAAGGGTGCAGAAAGGAGAGGGGTAGAAGATGAAGGAGGCAGTGACTATCAGATTAATTACAGATGCTGGGTTAACTGCAAAAAACAGCAGAGAAGAAGGAAGCAGGGGAATAAAGTCTGACCTCATCCACTCTTTTCTCTAAAAGAAATTAGCAGGTAGACTGTCACAGAGAGGCTGGGAGCAAGACCCCAGCACCGCTCTGCTGGTTTCAGCAGAGGATGCCAATTCACATGAGCTGAGGTTTAGCCCACAGAGGTTTCATAGCCTGTAAATATAATTTAAGACAGTGGGGGAAGAACCATATGTTTGAGAAAGGGGATAGCTTCTCCCAAACAAACATATATTGCAAATAATCTAAACCCAGCAAAAATGGGTTAATGTGGCTCCTCAGTTGCTTTGAATGATGTGGCAGGATGATATTTGTCCTCATGTGGAGCTTGTCCCTTGTCTCTGACCAGTTATGGTTGAGCAAGGGGACATTTCAGTATTTATTTTCTTTCTGTTGATTCCAACCAGATTGCCCATGCTCTGCTTAATGTAGTGCCTGCTGGAGAAGTGGGACAAACATTCAGTCACATTAAAAATAAACCCAGAAATAGCAGCTTATAAATTTGGATTTTTCTCCTATTATTATTTATGGGTGAATCCTGTCAGAGGCATAAATGCAATATCTTTGTAGGCCGATGCTGGGATTTATATCAAAGGGGTTCTAACATATACTTCATGTACTCAGCTGCAACTATTATAAGCTATTTCATGTACAGCTAGAGACAAATGATCTCTCCCATGTTTGTCTTAACTTATAAAATGCAGTTGGGTTGCTTGAATTCACTTCCAAACCTCCTGCATGGGGGAGGAGGACAGAAGATTTATACCCCTTTAATATAATCAATTCTAGGCATATCTTTAGACAAATAATTTAGAAATGTGTGCAACAAGAAACACCTCTATTAATTTCAGGATACACCATTTTATGCATTTTTATGTGCATTGAAAAAAAGGGATTAAATTTTAAAAAATAAAAGCCCTTACTCTGGGAAGAAAGCAAATTCTAACAAGAACATTTTGAAATAAAATCCCAGAAGGCAACAATCCCTCCAACAATTAAACTGGGAGAAGGTCCCCTGAGGGCAGACCAACAAAATTTAGTAAAAATAATTGCCATGCTGGGTCCTTGCTCTATTTTAGCTGAGTATAAGCAGACACACAAAAAATAACCTACTGAGAACAAGAACATTCCTACATGAAGCAGGCGAACAACAGAGCCGTGTAACTACCTGGCCACACCACTCGGCTTTTGCTGGCACGCAACACAGATTTTTATACTTCAGCCAATATAAAATAACAATCAGGCTATTTACAAGGCTCTGCCAAATATTAACCTTATATCCAATTCTCTTCAAACCTTTCAAAGTCTCTAATGTGAACCATGCAAGTTCCTCATTACTTGATCATATTCTGTAACTACGATGTTATGGGCTAGTTATATTTTTTAAAAGATGGTGTGTTTATGCAAAGATAATGATGCGGTGCATTTTATGCTGAAAAACTCAGTAATTAATTAATTTATAATCCCCCTCACTCTTCAACCCCTCCCTCTAAAAAGAATAAAATAAAAGATTAATTTGCTGGAGAAAACAGGTTCATGTTTGCCCTTAAGACAGAGCACAAAATTACTTTAGCATGTGTGCCATGGTTTAAACAAGTTAGATGCATGCATGTCCCCAGCCAGGTGAGAGCTATTGTAAAAGGGAGCTGAGAATGAAGAAAGCACAGAGGTAGCTCTTAAAAACTGAAGGTTGCCTCTGTAAAGCAATGTTGGATGTGCAAGGAGCTATTTAGGGTGACTAATTGTGAGACAAAGGCTTTGTCTCTGGCTGTGGGTAGCGTGGTGTAGGAAAGGGGCACCAGCAGAAGGGTGGTGGGAGGGAGGAGGAGGAGGCATGGAGTGATCCTTTAACCTTTCTTCTGCATCAGACACTCATCCCTGGATTTAGAAAAAATAATTTCTGCCTTGCTAAATTTTCTGTCATGGTCTTTTGGAGCTCTTTAATTATTTAAAGTGACTGTTTGTGGGTAGAGAAGTGAGAGCAGGGCCATGGGAGGCTCTTGCCCATCCATTGCAGGGCTGGGCACTCAGAGGTGACAGGGACAATGCCTCATCTGGCCCCACACTGTCCTGGCAGCCACAGCATGAGTGCTGGAGCCCTCCAGGTGCCCAGTAACTACCCTGGCCCACCACGGGCACTTGTGCGCTGACTCTGTGCCCTCCTGGCACTGTTGGAAATCAGGATCCATCATCCTGCAGAGGAAGTGCTTCTTCCCACAGCTCAGTGAGATCTTTCTAATTGGGGTCCTCTTTTCCCTCTGAACATCTGCAAAGATCATTTTGGAAATAGGCTCTATTGAATACTGGGATTCTTATTTTAAAGGGAGCTTTTAAGTGTATTTTTTTAGACACATTTTTACCAGCAGTACTTTTAACAATAGGTTACCAGATCCATCACACAATCTGACTAAAAGCCCGTATTTATTTCCCTAATTTTATAAACATTTAATAGGTCCTTATTAAACACATCAGCCAGCATGATTTAATAACACAATCAGTCTAGAAGTTTAAGAAAATTGAAAACAGGATTTGAATGTAATACAGCCACAATTACCGGAGATTATAGGCAATCATTTCCATATGTCTGCAATGGGGAGCTGCTAATCTCTGTTTGCGTGGAGGTGATTTCCTCTGGAACACTTCCCAGCCTTCAACAGCGCTAGTGCTGAACAAATTAGATTTGAAAGTCCCCAATTTTATGACTAAGGTAATATACTCTGTGTATTTAGAGAAACACTGATTTCCTATTTTAACTGGCTTCCAAATGCTGGACAGAGACCTCAGCTTCATTTAGTTTGGCTCTGCTGGGTATATGGTAAAAGGTTTTTTTTCTTTAAGGGTCAGCACATGTATTTTGGGGTGTCTCAGAGACACACCACAAGTTCCCTCCATCCGTAGGAGCAAAAGAGTTAGCATCCAGTGACATCATGGCTGAGGAATGTGCAGCAATTAGCCCTGCAGTACAGCAGGCAGCCCATGGCCAGGGGACAAGCAGCTCCCTCCTGCTAAACTTTAGGAGTCCTAACACCTTATTCCCTGACCTACCGCTTATGAGATCCTGAATAGCGTCACTTGTGTTTTGTGGGAATTCATCTGGTAAACTGGGCTTTTTGTGCATGGCCTTGGCTCGGCTTTGGCAGTTACTGTTGAAAATGGGACTGCTGTTGGGAAAGATTTCCTGTGCAGAGCAGCCAGGAGCTGGGCTGCTTTCAATAGGAGCCACTGACTAGTGGAGATGGGAGAGCTGCAGGGAACTTCACACTGCGGACCTGCCAGCCACTTTGGGGGATGTCAGGGACCTGCCCGGCCTCACGGTGTCCAAGGCATTTTTAGAATTTATTTTGTCACATGATTCATGTTTATGAAATGTTTGTGGCAGATTCTTAACAGAAAGCTCTAACAAGGGAGTAGGACTGAAAGAAAGTCTGTGGT